GTTTGTGTATCCAGGTCAAGTTTTACTTGTTTGCAAGCAACAAATAACTCCAGGAGAGATCAAACTGCTAAGAAGTTTCAATTGTTTACTAGTCTGAATGATCACAGTTGCATATTTAAACATAATAAAGTATTTTTCAAAGTACTCCATTCTCCTGTTTGCAAATGTCTGCTTGGAAGAAGGTGGCACCAGCAGATTTGAGCCCATTGACTAATTTATGTGTCGAACATTTACCACTGTCACACAAGTTAATGAAGAATGGAATAAGAATCTCAGACAGGGAATCTGTTCTAGCAAGGATTGCACCAAATCACCATGAAGCCACATTGAAGTATTTAGCCTTTAAAGACAAGTTTTAACAAAAATTACAATTGTCCCCTGTGCTTATTACAGTTTATTACACAGACTTCTTTCAGCACAATTCCTTCTGTACTGGCCACAGGCTCATGAAAAAGCAGCTCTCACTTAGGAATACAATGTTTAAGCAAATGTGTGACCCTTCCCACTACAGCCAGTCTTCCCAGTGGTTTATGAATACCCTCACAATGTCACACACATACACCTCCATCTTCTTTGTCACAGGAGCACCAACAAGTGCAAGTTTCTGCTGCCTTAAGCTGCCTCACAAATCTGGAGTTCCCAGCCTGTGCCTCTCCAGACCTCCGCTCTGTACTGGGAGCAGTTGGGCAACAGGGTGCTTCAGAAAGCATTCTTCAGTGGAGCACAGCCAAGACACTTTTCATTAATGCCTTACTTTTCTGGTCTTTGTACCCCATGTGACCTGGATTTGCATTTTGCTTGCCTCAGGATAAAAAAAAACGACCATTGATATGTGCTACAGCAGCTGCAAAATTATAGTCACAACAGAGGGTCATGCAACAGAGTCAGGACTTCAGGGAAAGGCAGCATCTTTCAAATAACTGATTTAGCAACAGTGCTTTCAGTGTTTGCAGCTTACAGACATGCAAATCCTTCTTCTGGCCAAATCAAAAATAAATTTCAAATTAAGTGCAGATTTAGGGTGACTTCACAAAGCTTTAATTTAAGATGTTCAACCAGACAATTTGAGGAGTCTGGTTTATGTACTTGCCATTTGTAACAAGTGTAAACTACAACTTGCTTATTAGTATCTGCATCACCTGGCTCATCCAGTTTTTAGGTCTCTGTGCTTCCTTTAACTAGGAGATATGTCTGGCTAGTTGTATAATGATTAATCAGGAAAAGGACGAAACAATGCCGCTACTTCGTTTTAGAGGAGACAACAGAACAATAGCTGAGACAGTTTTAAGGAGGAAAAGAGCTTTGGTTAGGTTCCATTCAACCATATGCAAATGGTGCCTAAAATGCCAGTGACAGGGGTTCCCAAACTACTCAGCACCACCTTTCTGAGATAAGGAACTACAGAGGAATGCAACCCAACACTGCGGTTTCAGGTGAAGTGGGTGGGCTAGTTTAGAGCTGTTTTTCCCCTTCAGATGATTCATTCCCTCATTAGGGCTTGCACTTCCTGAGGTATAACCAGAGCCATTTTCCCAAACGGCATATAACACTTTTTCTTTTTATAGGTACTACTCCTGAAGTCTGTCACAAGCTCAAGAGCTCTCAGATTACCAGGAGATTCGTTTTATGTTGCTGTTGTGCTAAGTTTCAAATTCTTTCTCAGGACACTGGCCCACCGACTTGGTGAGCAGAACAACTCTGGAACTGTTATGGAACTGTCAAAATACAACTTGTGTTCTGCTCCCCAGTGCTCTCTCCTCGGCTTAGCGTGGGTGGGGGCAGCACCTGAGGAAAAACAACAGAAACCGGACAAAATGTCTTCAGGATGTTTATGCCAAAAGAAACCATAGCGGTGTCATTATGGAGCCTACCCAGAGATTTGAAACAATGTATATCAGATAAAGCAGCCAAGGCGAGGCAGGCACCCAGCTCCAAGGCTGCTGAGAAAGTAATGGGAAGAAGGCAGGTAGAGTCTGCCCAGCTTGAAACAAAAGAAGAATCCCAGAGAAAGGGCTAGGCAAGATGGATCCAGGAGGTTGTCCCAGACAAAAGAAGTCTACTGAAAAAAAGAAAGATTATCTGGAAGCTGCATACACAAGAGGCAAGGAAACTAATAAGCAAATATCTGAAGCTGCTTCTCCTTCTACAACCACATGGTCACACAAATTTATCCAAGCTCTCTGCAGAGGGGTGAACTTGAGGAACAGAAATCGGCATGCACATTTTCTATTTTCAAACAACTTACCCAACTGCTATGTAACATTTTCTTTCAGAAGTCTGTGCTTGCAGTCACTTTCATCCAGCTGTCACATCCTGCTAAACTTGGTTAGGAGCAGAGCCTGGCAGCAGTTATCCGACCATCATCTTTGCAAGAGGGACATATCACATTTCACCCCAGGAGTGGCAAAAGTGTTCAGCCATGAAGCTGGTGTAAAAGGAAGGTTGAGAAGCAGCAGTAGCAGGGTATCTCTCATGAAACCAGAGCCCAGAAGTCTGTGTCTTCACTTCTTCCTAAGGAAGCCGCTTTGAGGCACTCCATTGTTTTCCATCTCTGCCCTTCCCCGGTATTTTTCCCTTGCATGCCAAGCTCCCTGGTTGTGCAAGCAGCTTTTGTTCTTTAATTCGCATCAAAAGCATATTTTCCTAATAGATGTGTCAATTCCCTGCAGTGCTAAACCTTTACAAGTACTGGGATCATCCAAATTCCCAACGATCAAAATGAGTGGTTGAGTGGTTTCGCTGGATTATCTTCGCAGCTCACAGAAGCAGGCTTTGAACACTGGGTCCCTCCCAGGTATCAGATCCACATCATGCGTCGGCAGTACAGCCTGTACAGGTCGCCAGAGGTACCACATCAAAATCAAGGGAATGTTTCAGGCTTCCATTTAATAGCCAAACATTTGTAACTTCTCCTTCAATCATTTGGGATTCATGTTGCAAAGAAAACATTCCACAAGTGATATACACAAGTTATAACTGAGAAACATCTCTTTTAGGGCAGAAACATAAATGATGGTGCTCAGAACCATGGTGTAGCCCCTTAGTCCTTGGCCCATATTACCATCAACAAGTAAGCAGACTTAGTTATTTGAAAAGACTCTATAAACCAACAGTAGCTGTTTCCAAATTAATAGGGACACCAATTTCCTTCCTTGGCCCTATCTTTCCTCACATCCCAGCCACAAGCAGACTGTATGTGGAGAGGGAATTAGAAGCCACCTGTCAGAAGGTCACAACAAGGAAGTCTGTTGCTGGTATCTTTTGCAAGATGCCTTTAGGGATGAAGAAATCCTGGTCCTGAAAAACAACTGACAGTCCAATGCTTACTGCTTCTTCCTAGTGCTGGTTTTTCTTCCCTTCTGTCTGTACATTTGCTGCCTTTTCCCCACTTTCTCCAGCTGCAGTTCCAGCCTGCCTGGGGCCACCTGCTCAGTCACTCCAGCCCTTAAGCCAGTCCACAAGTGTGTTGTTGGCTGCTCAGCCCTGACTCTGCTGCTGCCAGAGCCATTGCAGGCAGGAGGGTCACTGCTGCCTGCAACAGCCACATTGCAAATCCCATCCTTCTTGACGGCTGCTAGCTGCAGAGCCAGTCAGAACAGGAGGGATGCTATGGGATCAGTCATGCAGCTAGCCCAGCACCTTTCCCTCCACCCTCTCATTTTCCCTTCTTCCTTGCTCTACCCCAGGGAGCAGCTCCTCTGTGCCAGCAAGGTACCTCACAGCACCGGCCTGTGGGAGCAGGGGGAACTACAGCAAAATGTCGGGTAAAAGCGACATGAGCCCAGGAACGTGCTCGCCCCACTCTGCCCTTTGCATGCAGACTGGTGAGTGTTCAGCTGCGCACGTCTGCGGGGTACAAGAAGAGGGATCAGACAGAAGGCCTGGCTACGGCTCTTCCTCTATACCTCACTTTGTCAGACTAGGGAAAACCAGCCATACTACAGCATAAGCAAATACATTGAAAAATGAGGCCAGGGCAGCAAATGGTCTGTTACATTTGCTCAGCTAGGCAGAAACAAAAGCCAGGCTTGCACTATTTGCTATACACAGCAAATTAGAGCTCAGCGACTCTTTTTTCGGAGGCTGAAGGGGAAGGGTTTTCCTGGATACTTAACTTGTTAAAGTATTGCCAAATCTGCAGAAATAATTTACTCCTGATGGACACAGTACTGATGAGTTTTACAACCTGCCAGACACAGAGGGTAAAGCCCTGAATAAATCACAACAGATGAAAATATTGTTAGCAGTTTCATAATTTAATGAAAAAGTACTTGTAAAAAGGGGACATCTGAAAAAGACCGAGTCCATCTTGGAAAATTGAATATATATATATTTATATATATAAAACAAAATGCAAAAACACAACAAAAAATTGACAAATAAGGTTAAGAGGTAATACTTCAAACAGTTAGCCACCGAACGCACAATAAAAACTAGCAAATGCACTTTGGGGACAATACTTGAGAACTACATAACCAAGGGCTCCTTCATATGTCTATTAAAATCATGTAAAAATTAGCAAAACCATTGCCCAGATTGGAAACAACTGAATTGATAACCCCAGAAGAGCAGAAACGCTGAGTTTTGCTGAAGCACCATTTTCCCCTCTTCCATCATATGCTTCCAGCCACAAAATAACATGAACACTTTGCTGACCTCCCAGATAAGTGTTCCCAATAAAAGCTTCATAAAATTTCATGGCCAGTGAGAGAGGATTAGTAATAAATATTGAAGGAGAACTAAGAGAATCAGAACCAGAATACAAATGAACAGACATTTGTTTACTTATTCTGAATGTCCCATGGCTTAGAACACAAAGCATTTCCCATAAAAATAAAATATGTGGAAACCTAAATTGCTACTGCATATTTACACCAAAAGAAATAATTTTGAAGATACAGCTCTAGAAAGATCAATTACACAAATATACATAAAATCAAGAAGTAAAAAAAAAATAAAATAAAAAAATTAAGATGCATGAAGCAAACAGAGCAGATTGCCCAAGTATACTTCTTTTTATTATTTCACTACTGAAGAGTCCTCCAGCACCTGACCTGCTTGTCCTATTGCAACTAGGGAGATTTCAAAGTTTAAAACAAATCTGAAAATGTCATTGCCATTTCCCAACCTAAAAGCAATAAATTAAATCTATGAAGTGAAACAAGCTGCTGCATATTCAGATCCTGCATAGTCATCTTCACGCTGTGTGGGGAACACCTTTTTGTTTGTAGGCAAAACTGAACCCTCAACAGAGCTGTACAACATGCCCTACACAACCTATGGGTCGTTTCAGCCAGTGATGTGGGGACAGAGGATGCTGTGTGTTTATGAAATGTACAGCATTTCAGACAAAACCAGTGCAGTCACTTTGTTGATCAACACAACACCATCTGTAAAATATGAAGTTAGCTTGCATTCAAGCAAAAACCTAGTTGTCTCTGAAACAAACAGAAAGGGACTCATTGCCTTCCCTTCTCAACTCCTCTATCAGTACTGGCTGAAATTTAATCACATGTAACAACTGCTGATTTTAAATGACTTACAAAAAATGTGTTAGATTGGGAAACAGCAACTAATCCAGAGGTTGAAAAGCAGCGTAATAAAATAGTAGATTTTCAGCAATTAAAAAACCCCATTTTTAATTAAACCATCATACTCTAAATGATGACTGGCTAAAATTTTACAGACCTAGATGCCAGAAAACTCCCATGCCTGTGTTCAGGCAACTAGGGTTGAAAATTTGCACCTGAAAAAAAATTCAGCTAAAATAATTTCTAATTTAGCTGACTTTAAAAATACCAGGTAAAAACATCTCTGGATATGAAATCTCAGTTTCAAGAGGAACCTGGCATCACCGGTGATTGCCTAAATGTAAGTGTCAAATAGCATTTTTCTTTGAAGTAGTACATCTACTTTTGTAAACACTATCCACAAAATTAGCCATCTGTACTTGTTAGCTGGGTAAAATATTTACAAGTGCATCCCACAACAAGCATCTATGTACAGAGATTAAAAAAACTGAAGTACTAGAAGTTGTATATTTACAAAATAAGCGAATTATTGTGAAGAGAAACACAACCTTCAGCAAAAGCAGGGAATGGGGGCACGTCTAGAGGTCAGCAAGTTTGGCAGCGCCAGCGACGCCTGCTTCCACCCTCCGCAGGGAGCCTGCAAACGCCACTGCAGCTCAAAGCCTCCTGCAGAAGGGGATCATCACTTAGTAGTCACTTTGGGCCTGATCCAGCAGAGCACACCGGCATGTGCTGGGATATCTGAGCACAAACGTTCCCGGGGGAAACCAGCAGGACTTTTCACATGCTTAACTTCCTAACACATCCGCAAGTGCACTGCTGGATCAAAGCCATACTGCAGGTGCCGTAACAACGCAGTTTCAGTGTCTCCGTTTGCAGTCCCTTGCAACACACTAGAGCAATGCAAGGACTTCTTTAAAACCTGTCCACCACTACGAGACTGCTTCCATACGAACACGGTGCCTTGCACTTAAGCTGGCAAGGGGGAAGCAGTTTCCTGAACTTTTGCACAATTAACCACTTTGTGCTCTCCCAGATGTTACCCTCTGATAAGACACACAATTTCCACGTGACTTTGTGGATAACTGAGCTAACCTTGCAAAGACTGCAAACCAATTCACAGTTGAGCAAAACTACTCTGATTTCTCTCCCCTCCCCCATCCCCTACTGCAGCTCTTCCTAAATAGGTCCTAGACTATTTTCTGGAACCTTTTGATGCTGAGCTTTGCACTGGTACACTGGAATACATAAAGGCTGAATTACCCCGTGGGGGCTTCTAATCACCTTTGTACCGAACTGTGAGATATCATATTCTTTTTGTTCCTATTGTGACAGTCTCTTCCAAAGTCCTTACTTGGGCTTTCTCTCTCTGAGCTACTTCGTCTTAACCTCACTTGCTCTTTGTTTTCATCACTTTCTGCTTCAGAGTCACTCAGCTCTAAGTCAGGACAGTACCCATCGTTGTCCTGGTATGGAGCACCTTCAAGCGTCTGCTTGCTCCACAAGCGATCTTTTGTTGCAAGTCTCCTTGTTGGCTTTTCACAGCACCGGAGATCTTCCGTGGTCCTCACCAGACTGTTGGTAGCCTCTTTAAAGGACCGGCTGAAATGTTCTATGGTGGATTTTCGGAATCCACTCTGGCTGGCCAAGTGAGCCGTGAGCACAGACTCTTGTTCGTAGGATGTCTGGCTGGAGCTGTCCCTCTGGCTCACATCTCCAGCCCTGCCGATCAGACCGTTGGATTTGGACACCAGCCTTGAGTTGTCCTGCTGCACCCGCCCATTTCCGATGGAAGACTGTCCATGCAAAGCAGCCTGGAGCGCTAAAGGCTTCCCGGATGGCTGGCCCCGGTGAAACTCCATCAGCTGCGTGGGGCCAGAATCCTTTGCCTCGCTCCGAGGCTTGCCAATCCCTGCCAGCAACCCGTTACTTCTGCTGTCGTGCTGATACCTGGCATAAGATTTTGCTTTAATTTCAAATGATTCCTTTGACATTGGCATACTCCGTTTGCTGTAAACAGTGCTGTTGTTGTCAGGAGAAAGCGGTCGGTTGCCAGGCTTCAGCGAGTTATTTTTGCAGTCTCCTAATGCTGATTTGGGCATTTTTAACTTCAGGGTAATCCTGGGAGGTGGGTAGAACAGTGTGTTCTCTAGTGCACTTGTCAGGGTATGGCCTACAGGAGAAACAGGCGAGGAAGCAGAAGAAAAAGGCTTTTTAAAATAGGGTAATTTCCTTTGTCATCCATAACAAGTTTTATAGTCCATTATACAGTCATGCAACAGCAAGAAGCATTTGCAAATAATTAGTGTGAAATTATTTTAGGACACTAAGGAGAAGTTCGGATAACCAAACCGTTCCAAATTATCCACCGCTTTGGAATTTAGGTAAGCATTTAAAGATTTCCATTAAAAACAACAATGTGCCCTTTTTACGGGGCTTTAAGCCAATGAAGTGAACCAGTTGAGATATGACTGAAGTTGTTCCAACAAAGCCGTAAAAAAGGCTCATATTCAGTTTTGGATGAAGAAAAAACAATGCTTCAAACTGAGTTTCAATTTGGACTTTGTTCAACTCTCTGCTTTATATTATAAAATTCTCTAAGCTTTAAAAGTCTTTTTACCTCAACATATGAATTTTTTTGGTAACACACGCATACAGCACCCACTGAAAGTATCAAGCTATTATAATAAATATTGAAAAAGCACTTGTATTTGTGAAGACATTAAATAATATTAGTAGACATTTCTAATAAAATGTATTTACACAAAAGAAAGGAGTTTCAGAGTGCTGCTTCCATGAAGCAGTCTGATCTAAAACAGTTTAAAAAAACCCCAACCTTATCAGTACTAACAAAACCTATCCATGCTTGAGGGGCAGAGAAAAAAAAGCACAAAAGACTTCACCCTGAACTGGTGAAGTATGTGCCTTGAAAGACCAGAGAGATCTTAATTTCACACAGAAAAATAGCTGTCTTTCCAGTAAAAAAAAAAAAAAAAATCCCATTAACTACACTGGTATGCATACGCTCTTCCTCTTTCCAAATACTGTGTTCCTTATTTTAAAAAGTTGCTGTAAATGCGAAGGATAGAATGGGGTTTGGCACCTCAGCATTCCTAAACAGTTACTAGTCCCCATTAATAACCAGAGTATTTAAACTCTTTTTGAAGGAAGGAGAGCAACTGCAGATGGCAAACTAAAAAATCTGCACTGCTCATGATGTGCACAAGGCACATGAGAACAGCAGCAATTCCCATCAGTCACTCTTTTCTTGCCTGAAGGAACTGACTACTGACAGCAAGCAAAAAAGCCTTCTCAGCTGGAGAACCAAACAGTGGGGTAGCGCTTACTGTGGGGAACCAGTGTCACAGACCAGCAACCCAACAGTGCAGAAACCTAGAGATCACCACCAGCTCATTTCTGCTCTCTGGATGCCACAGTGTTAAGCAATAGGCATATACCAGAAACAGCCATAAAATAAATTCAAGTAAATATTTTAAGCAATTATAGAGTTCTCTCTGTGTTGCTACTTTGATTGACTATGTACTTGAAGAAAATTCTTAAAGGGATTTTTACATGTTAAAAGCACTAACTAGGAACATAAAGAGAATACACTGCTTTAGTTTAAATACAGGCAGGATTTATATGTATTTTGCATATGATTACCTGCAGCAATTTCCTGATTAATGAGTTGGACTTGCAAGTTGAAGACCTGTTCATGTACTTTACTGTGGGACAACTTCAGTTTCTCTCTCCTGCTTACCATGTAGCAGAGATTTCTTACCTATGGAGGAATAACAGGAGACTTAACAGGCAGTAAGAAAATAAATCCAGTCATAGTTTAAAAAGTGTATCAACAACAGAATCAAAACAATATTACATGCAAAATCCCTTGGTAAAGTTCTTGTGAATATTACTGAACGTACCTAACTATGCACTTAAAATAATGTTCAGCCTGGAGAACAGAGGGCTCTGGAGAGACCTCACTGCAGTTCTTCCTTATATGAAAAGGGATTATAAGAAAGACAGAGAGACCAGAGCCTGTAGTGACAGAACAAGAGGTAATGTTTTTGAACTGGAGGAGGGTAAGTTTACATTGGGTGTAAGGAAGACATTGTTAACAGTGAGACACTGCTACAGGTTGCCCAGAGAAGTTGTGGAGGCCCCATTCCTGAAGTGTTCAAGGCCAGACTGAATGGGGCTTTGAGCAACCTGGTCTTGTGGAAGGTGTCCCTGTCCATGGCAGGAGCATTGGAACTAGATGGTCTTTAAGGTCCCTTCCAACCCAAACCATTCTGATTCAGTTCCACAGAATTCTACTTCTACTACTTGTTTGAGTTAATAGCAACATTTCCACCTAAGGCAATAAAATAAGAAGAGACACTGAAAGTTCTTGATAAACACCTAAAAGTGCTTTTAGAACACAGAAACAGCGTAGGCGCACACTTTTCCAAGCACTCAGTTCCATCTGTTCAGAACTGGAATCTCTTTACCTAGAAACCAAATTGCAAGATTCCCAAATTTATATTTATCCCAAGATATAACAGAGTAGAAAATCTTGAACAAGAAGTTCAGAAACTCAGAGACAGGCATTTCAAATTATGAATCAGCTCCACTAAGAGAACATCAATTTCAACAAAATTTGGTGCAAACAAAACATTTATCAAACAAAAAGCTTGACACGGTCTCTTGAAAAATAAAAAAAACCCCACCCCCAAATACCAACCCTCCATCTGAGGCATGTAATGGGTTTTAAATTTTTTCTTAAAGTAAGCTTCCATACCACAAGCAGTCCTGGAAAAGATCTGAGATTGATTACAATATATTCAAGACAACAGTTACACTGACAAGTGCAAATCTTGGTTCCAACAATCTTTCTGCATTTTCATGTTATTCTCTCCCCAATATTGTTTCCCGTTTTCTTACAACACTATTACCTCTCTTCTGCTTTTACTTCCTCACCACAACTATTTTATTACCTTTTTTACATTCACTACCTACCTTTAAGCACTTGAAAATTGCAGGTGACCCCTACTCAACAGGCCAACCTAATAGGTAGCTTCCAAGTGGTAACAAGCCTTACTCTTATTTTTTGTTTAGTAAAAGTAACATTTTTTCTCATTTAATCTGTATCACTTTATTTGACCACTACAGTGGGTCAAATAAATTTCTTCATCTTTTAAAACATTTATTCAACTGAAGCTGAAGCCATAGAGTCAATTACCAAATATGTCCATTGTGCATAGAAATACGCATCTTGAAACACATAAAGGAATAACCTTTAAGCAAGTCTGGAAGCACTGCTTTCACATTGGATCTTTCACTGGACTGAGGGGCAGCTCCTGAAAGTGTCTGCAGCAGGCAGTGAAGCATATCAAAAAACTGGAGTTGAAGGCCTTACTTTTATATTTTTTATATTATTATTTTAAAAATCATCTCACTTTGCTTTCTCACTTTCATCAACAAAGAAAGACCTTGCTCACATGGAAATAGATTTTCCAAAACTTTACAAGTTAATTCTTACCCTCTCTAGGTCCTGTCTTAGATGCATAAACATCCTCATGCGAGTATGAATGCTATCTTCTTTTGGCTGCACCAAGCCATTTTCTTCATCCTCCTTGGGAGGAAACAATGGTTTGTTAAAGTTACTTTTTCGCTTTAATTTCCAGTAATTGTAGATGAAGTCTACAGCAAGTTTAGGAAGGCCCAGCTCTGCTGCAACATCCTCCACTTTTACTAGTGAATAAAACTCTTCTTCCAGCTCTCGGAGTTTTTGGGCTCGCAGGCTCGTTTTCTCACTCTCTGTTTGCTCTGACACACTCTTGGGGTGCTCCTCAACATCAGGCAACGAATTCTGTTTGTTCTTGCTGTGCTTTAAACAATATGACTTGAACTTGACCTCATCCCCATCATCCAGGATAGTCTTCATCTCTAAGCTATGCTCAAAGGCACAGGTGACATGAAAGGCAGTGATGCAGCTTTTCACGGAGCACTGCAGACAAAAAGCCTCAATTACTAACAGTAGTAGCAGAACAGAAAAAAATGACATAATTACTTCAACTACATGAAAGTCCATCCCTACCAAAAACACTTTTCTACACATTCTTAAAAATATTGATCCCTCTGACATTGGAATTACCCACTATAGTATTTTCTTGTTTGCAAAGAGTGTTCAGTGGAAGGAGTTTTCTGCCCATCTTTGATACACATAGTAGTGGCTCAGACACCATAGCCTTATTCAAAAGGCAGCAAGTCAGACTAATTCTTAAATCTCTGTCTAGTCAACTGATTTGATAGCAAATGGCTATGAAGAAGCAGACAACTATCCCTGTCACCTCCATTGTAAAGCATCTCTGAACAAAGGAAGAACAAAATGCAAAACTGAAATTGCCCTTCTGACAGATTCATCTCTGCAGTCGCTATGGGACAAGTACATACCTGAATGCAAGCACCAGTTTTCAGTTTGCATAAACTACACACTAGAGCCCATCGACTTGGTGGAATGTGAGACACCTTTGTGATTGGCTCCATCCTTTCTGGGCAAGCAATACTAACCTGTAAAAAAAAAAAAGCAGTGTAGAAAACAGTTACCAAAGGAAAAAAAACAACCAAGCTCTCCAATTACATCAGAAGAAGAAAACTATCCATTCATTTCTCTTCCTGCAAGATCTCCATGTGCTCATACTTCTCAGAAAGGAGCCTGAAAGATCCCACATGCAGACAATAGTGTGGAATACAATCAGTTAAACCTGGTGATTCAAAGTTGCAATTATTCAGAACATTTGAGGCACTTACAGCATGCCCTTGTTACGAACTAGTGTCCTGGTTCCAGCCAGGAAAGGGTTAATTTTTGCAATAGCCAGGAGGGAGCATGGCTAGGACCCAGAGGTTATTCTATACCAGCTCATATCATTTTCTGAGAGTGCGGGGAAGGGCTCTCTCTTGGTCAGGTAAGTGTGGTGTGAAGCCAGGGGTCGGACAGCTCTGTCTCCTTCCGTTACTGATATCGTAGCTCCTATTGTTTGCTTTCCTTTTTTTTTTTCTTATTTCACTGCTGCTTCCAGTAAATTTGTTCTTATCTCAAACCATGATCCTTACCATTTCTACCTCCAAATCCCCTCCACAGCCTGCTGTAAGGGAAGGGGGATGGTGCATGGTTTGAAGTGCTGCAGTGGGAACACTAAATTGGGGAACACCATTCCTAAACCACTACCAGTTGAGAGACTGCAGCAAGTGATACTTAAGTTCATTTCCATTTCCTTTGTTTTTTTCCTCTGTGCTGCTTTCACACATCTAACTTTAAAAGTCCCAAAATACAAGCCCCTCAGAACAAAACAAGAACAAGAACTTCCTGCTATAAAATTCCTAGATCTGCTACAGTATCTACTTGAGTATCTATAACTCAAGATTTGGGACAGAACCAGATCTATCAGTCAGCAGCCAGGAGAAGTGTTGCTTACCTGCTCTGCCTCTCCACTGAGGACTCCCACTGCAAGATAATCCTAATACACTTTCCTTACTATGGACTGTATCCAATAAAAATTGAGAAAAATACATCAAACTTCTCTTATTGCAAAGCAGGATATACTGTCTTGTGCCAGTTTTCACAGACTTAGTCTGGATGATCAACTTGACTCTGGTAGACCAGATTATAGATATTACTAAAAGAAAGGAAAAAAGCTTTTCCTATTCTTTGTTATATTAACTTCCACATATCCATTGTGATAGAAGTTTTTCAGTTGCCTGTTGTCTACAGAGGGAAATTAGGACTTTCCTCTATGATTTGGAAACCAAAGCAGATATGTCTATTTCTTTAGGCATCCCTGAGCCACTCCTGACAGGATTTATCCAAGCACAGAAACAAAAACTTGGACAGCTCTGAATGACTAACATGCAGAACTGGGCCAGTATAAGAACGGCACATAGCAGAAGATTTCAGTGTCCCAAGAACATCAGTCTCCAAAAGCCTGGATTTTGACACTTCTACAAGACTCTTTGAATTCAGACTCTTTGAATGTGCCTTGGAGGGCTATCTGGCTGAACCAAAACCACAATGCTGATACTAGTTAGGAAGCTCCCCATACTTTCTAAAACCAATTCATCTGAATAGAGCAGATCTGTATTTCCTGTGATGGGAATATGGGCTTATTCTCAAAGGGGTCAAACCTAAGAACTCAAAGAAAGGAGATTCCTAGGTATTGCTCTGTGGCGCCAGAAGAAATCTGATGGCTTAAAAAAGCAGTTAACGACGAGAATTGAACAACAATTATTTTGTTTTTCAAGAAAACTTTAAGAGCATTAATTTACAGTAATTTTCATTGATTAACTCCATAGTAAGAGACACCCAGGAAAATCTGGGTTGTATGAATTAGTTTAACATGTGATAATTAAACTGGCAAATTTACAAGAGACAGTAGACAAAGCTGAATTTCCTAGCTTCCCTTTGGGAGTACATCATCAATCATTTGAGGCAGATATTAATTTAAAAACCTGTTTAAGCCCTAAGGATGAAAAGTTTTGCTTCAGCAGACCTTCTCAGTGAGGTAGACTTACCTAAAGATAGCAGAGCTAAGTCACAGTTGCTATGCTCAGAATATTTTTGCTACTCTCTCCTAATCACACATTGCTTTAAGGATCATTTAAGTAGGTGGAAAAAACATCTTTGCAAGAGATTACTTGGTTCATCATTTCCACATTAGGAAAAAAAAAACCGTTGACCAACAGTTCATGAATTAATGACATAAATTGACTCAAATAAGACAACGTTTGTTACAGTACTTCCCTCTCTGATCTGCCAAGTGCAAGCCCACATCTGGAATATTCTGATGTCAGAATGCTGCACGGCATTTCCAAAATTCTTCTTTAGGAAGACACTGAGATGCTTCAGAAGGTTCAGGTTTTAAAGAAGAACAGTCAGGCAATACATGATGCACTCATGAGACAGACGTGATTAACAATTTAACCTCTTTTGGCCTTCCTATAAATTGGTGGAAAAGTAATAAGACTGTCCCTGGAATGCCCTAGTAGTTCAACAAAATCATGGTAATGCTCTTCAATATCATCAAATATAGGTTTATTAATTCCAAAAGGAAAGAGCCTTTCATGAACCTAACTTGACCATGCTCATAACAGCTGGTTACAAGTTGCACAGGTATTTCTGAAACAATATTGTACAAGATTGACTGTTACCACTACACTGAGAGACAAGACTTCTCTTAAGAATTAAGGGATTGCATCAAAGTGCCAGGTTGTCTATGTTCTTTTCAAAAGGAAACCAGACTCTGCAATTACTTTTTTTTCTGGAGAGCGAGTAATATCAGCTTTCCACTGGGATTCCCAGCAGGAACTGGGAATTGACACAGACCTTTCCCCTGTCCCTCTCTGCCCCTTTAAATATTCTCCTTGCTCCTTCCCCAGAGGAGACTCATAAGGTCAGGAAATATTTATATTGGAAATACTGTTCATTCAGCTTGTAATGCTGACTGTTGCTATTACCCCACTTTGTAAAAGCACAGGGAGGCACTTAAAGAGTCAGGTATGATTTATTTATACTGGCCTTGTGCAACCTGCATGTTTCTGCAGAGAGAAGTCAAGGCAAAGTCCATTTGAACTTTGCTGCTCCCAAGGGATCCAGAGAGCAGAAGCCAACCTTTTCATCCCCCAGGAACCCCCATTCCAAGGCAGAAATGACCCATCTGCCATAACATGTAATCATTTTTTCCATTTCTTCACCTTGCATCAGGTTACATCTTGACTGCTATACTCTGAAGAAGTTCTAGGAGTGGGAGAGAGTGAAGATAATGGGTTGCTGAAGCCTATTATCTGCAACTGCTATGCACAAGATCAATCACTCTGCTGTCCTCTGCTTCCCTGCTACCTGTGCCACCAACAGCTGCACCAGTACACAGGGATCTGCATCAGTGGCTGGGAAGGGCAGCCCGGTGGTTTGAGCACAGCCACTCACAACAGCTGCTCAGAACAGTCAATTTTATCTTTCCTCTACAGCCGAGGGGGTTATCGCTTTCTGCTTCAGCTAACACCACATTGACTGGCAGAGGATACACCTGTAAGGTATTATCTAAGGCAGAGGACCACTTTGAATTTCAAAACACTCAATACAGGTTTTCTGGCATCAGTGTTCCCTATCTTGATTTTTTTTTAATTTAGAAGAACACCTTTTAAAAAAACCCATTAAATAGATCACACATTTACACTAAAATAAAGGCAGAAGAAAAAAAGGATATAAACCAACAAGTACAGTTTGGAAAGTAAAAACCTTAAATCATCCAAATCAGTCCAGGGAGCATAAAGAAAGCCTTTAAACAGCATTAACTCACAAGGAAGGCAGGGAAGAAAAAAGATTTTATACAGTGCTGAATGAATTAATGCAGGAGAATACCTGGCACAATACAGTGCAGCAATGCTAGACTACACTTGGTGACTTATGAAGCCTCTTTGAAACATTTGCCACAAGACATAGACATGTTTATAGCCCCTTCCTCCCTGCTTTCTGCCTTGCTCCACTTTGTTAGGCCCATAAGAAGAAATACCAGTGACTTTGTAATTAACGTTTCTTTTATGGAGTTCCAGCATGCTAGTATCTTGAAAGAAAATAAAAACAACATATAAATGAGAATATACATTCTCCCCTAAGGCATCCATCCCTGGGTCTTTAAACTCTATGTCTTTCTTGTCCCCCGCAGCACATAAGGCCACTGCAGGCAGGAACTGACCTGTCATTTTAGAAGAGATTTACAAAGGGTTTTCCTGGCTTGTCTGGAAACTGAATTGTTTTACAAGTGACTACACACAAGCCTGAGAGAACAGATCCAAAATGCATTTCCCATACCTGCAGGCACGTGCCACCTCTTCACTATGCCTGACACACTTGGCATCTGTGTGGAGAGGAGATGTCCTGGAAGCACTGAACGGGCTGTGCAAATAGCTGGATTCAAGCTCTCCCACCCTGGGTGCCCCCCAGAAGCTTCTCTTCCTCAGTCAGAGGGAGATGGGCAGACAGGAAGCCAGGATGTGCTTCCTGCCCAGCCATCACCTCCTTCCCAAACCTCACTGTTCCTCTCCTGCTGATGAGAACAGCAAGGCAACCATACACAGAATGGACCTCTTAGAAAAACCAGTCAGCTCAGAGCCCAGAGAGCTTCCAGTCAAGACACTTCATAAGCACAAGAGGAGAAGTGATTTTCTAAAAATAAATATTTTTGTTTTATTCTCAACTCCTCTCCCCTCAAATGTGCAAGAGATGACAGAAACAACAAGTAGGCCTGAATGGAAAAGTACAATTGCAAAGATAATCTCCTTAAGAAGCAGATATATACACCTGAGACAAGAAAGAATTACACGATGTACCCAGTTGCTAAGTCAAAAAAACCAAACCAAAATCTTAACATCTTCCTCAAAGTTATGCACACATCAGGCCTGTCTGCACTTGGGAGCAGAAGATTCAGAAAATATTGTATCCTTGATTTCATGGTGCTGACAGATCTGGCTACTGTCTCGCATTAAACCACCCACCATAATGGATTTGTGAATCTTACCAGAAATAAAACATAAATATTCCAAGTGCAAAATTAAACACAAACTCCATCTATACCTAAGTGAACCTTCTGTTTTACAGAACTACACTGTGATACTAAACTTGATTCAAAATGGAGGAGGAAGTGTAAAACTTCATTATGAAACTCTCCATATATGTTATGCACACACATATCAAAAAAGCCTTTACTTATAAGTTATATATAACATGGAGATAAAAATTCTCATCTCCCCACCATTCAGAAAAAATTTAATTAAAAAAAAACTTTAACTACAAATCTGAGCATACATCCTACAGAAATAATGCAGTGCAAGTGACCTTTAAACAAACAAACATAACTCCAAAAAAAGTAGCGGTATTAATGCAAACTACACATGTATCCAAGTACACAAATTCATTAAAAAAAATATGTCAGACAATGAAACTGTAGCTGTGAGATACAGCTTATACCAGTCACCCTTTCTAGCAGGTCACAGATACCACAATAACACCAAGAAGTGATTGCTGAGTAAATGGAGATGACAAAGTGACTCATTAACAGAATACAAGCTGGATTCTTTCCCAGACTTCACAGGCCTATCAGAATAAAGCCCAGTATTATGTCAAAGACTTTAAATCATGAGAATGTAAAAAGGCAGAGGATGGAACAAGGAGGAGAAGGACAGGAGAGAAATTAGTGTTTTACCTCTGGAATCCAAAGAGCACAGCTCACATGTGCCCACTTGGTCCCTGTCCTGGTAGCTTTCATGGCACCTCCTCTTTTGGGACAGAGGAGGCATTGAGGATGTATTCCCAGGACACAGGTGCGACACAGCCAGCTCCCTTCGGGTACTTTTAAGATTCCATAGCAAGCCTTGGAGAAAAACAGGTATTAGAATCATTGTGCTGAAATTATTTCACACACTTCACAAGCATTCATATTCAAATAGAGCAAAGCTTTCAAAGAGTAAAGGCACAATCTGGCTTTCATTTAATTTCTCTGTGACTTCTTAACCTTAAAATGAGTCAAGTAATCCAAGAGAGAAACAGCCTCAAAAGCAATAGTTTTTACACCTGTTTATAAAACATATCCATTGGGACTGCATAACAGCACTGATGTTACAAACCTTCACCTTTGCTTTTAGTGACTTTTAAATTTCTGAAGTAAACAACATGGATATTCCTTTAAACTATCTTCTGTATCTAATACTTTCTAAAATCACCATTTTCTACTGCTAAAAACATAACTCTCTAACGTAACTCTATTTAGATGTGAAGGGATATGAGCTGTTTGACTGAAAATCATTTCCTGCAATGTTTGTGGTTACAGTTCTGTATACTTTTTTCTTTAAATATTTATATAATATTGCAACAAAAATTACACCATATATTAGAATTATAAATATTTTATGCCTATTTCCCCAAGTATTGCACTTAATCACACGGAAAATGAGAGATTTTAAAAGTTTTGCTAGGTTTGAGAATTAAAATTTAAAAAGGAAAACAAATAGTTTGATTTCCAATTCAAATTCCTCATGGTTCTTAACGGAACCAAGGTGGATCCTGCTGTACATACATATCCCCACTACCCTCCATGAAGATGAGCATATCTGAAATCACTGGCTGCCACTAAAGTCTAATTTCACTCAACCACTCCAATAAAAGTTTCATCGAAAGGGTGGATATCACAGTAAATCTCAATTTTTAATACTATCTCTGGTAATGTAAGATTAAAAGACTAAAAAGAATGGGATCATTCGTTGTAACCATTCGTTCAGATTAAATCTAACATAAAAGTCTCATACTTGCCTTCCAAGCCTTGTGGTTATAACATCTCAGTATTTAATATTAAACAATAACATAAAACACCACATATTTATGTCAGGCTTGTAGGGAGGGGGATTTTCCTGAATTAAATGTGGCGAGACTAACTACCCTAAATGCTTTTTTCATGTGACAACTCCTGTAAAAGCCCAACAGGGGGAGCTGCAATCCAAATTTTACAAGGGTTCTTTCCCTCCTCTGTGGCCTATTCCCATCACAACTCTTTCTGTTACTATAGCACAAGTGATCTAAGATCATATCTAGGGTGCTGGAAATGGACTGAAACTATTTTCTAATTTTAACTGATAAGCAAAGGATGCCTAGACTACTAAAACAGTAACTTCACAATGTGTTTGAACCAGCACGACAGGGTACCGTGAAGGAGGAATTTTATCACACTCCTCCTCCCCTCCACCTCCAAACCGTGTGATTACAAACAGACCTGAGGCTACTTGTTGAACCAAAGCTGATCCAGATTAAAAATGAAACAAGTTGTTGTTATGGTTAGGATCAGCTCTAGCCCAGACACACTCCCCAGTTTGTTTCAGGTAGATTCAGCACAGGGAAGAGTGAGGAGCAAAGGGGCAGCAGACCATCAACTCAAGCTCAGCTGTCAACCATGAGCCTTTGACTGCAAATCCATCATTACTCCTTAACAGGCACAAGCCAGGACTGAAGCAGGCAGCCCAGCTGCCAGCCCTATTCCTGTCACTGGCCGCCTTACTGCCAACTCAGGCTCACAGGCTGCTTCACACACGGACTCAGGTAAGGAAAGCAGCCGAGCTGGAAGCCAGCCCACTGTAAGCAGGGAGATGACAGGTCTTTTTTCAGCCAGATATGTTTTCCAAATACTACTTGCAGTCAGTACAAAAATACATTAAAAAAAAAGAGTTTTAGTCTCTTTTCAATTTATAGCAAAACTCCCTCCTAGAATAGGATGCACAGAAACCACAGGATTCATATCCCTTTTCTGATTATAAGGATACCTTTACCTGACTATGCTGAGCTCAGGCAGTGTAAAGTCTTGGCTACATCTGAAACACTATGAACATGAGCACCATTCAGACTGAGACCATGGTTTCTGCAGGTGCTGATGGCTTCTGAAGAAAATCACTCTGCTAAAGTGCCTACATATGGTTCCAGATGGCTAAATTTGAACAGTCTATGTCTGACTAAATAACTAGTCAGTAAAGTAAAAAAAAAGTAGCTCTGCAACAAATGATCTTTAGATTTCTCACAAACAGGCAAGCCAGTATTTCCCCATCCTGTTTATCTTCAGAAGAAGATTTAGTAATAGGGAAAAAAATTATTTACAGTCACAGAGGAAATACTTGCATGTTCCAAAAACACACTCTGCATTCCTGTTAGACTGTAGCTGTCCACTTAGTAACTATACTAGGCCACTTAATCTACTGTAATTGTTAGAGTCCAAAAATTCACCTCAGTATTGCACACCCTTCATATGCAGAAAACCGCAAAGTCCTCCACTTAACATTTAATACCTGTTCATATTCCACACTAGCCTGGGTAAACTCAGACCACAGGATAGTGGTCTGCAGGCACTAACCTGATGGACACAAATGTTACACTTGTCACAGAACACCATGTCATTCCCATCTTCACTATCCGGGGACCGGCACACATCACAGATGACATCCTCATCATACTCGATCCCCAATCCTTCTTCAGTCTCGATGGCGTGGTTCATGTTCTCATGGCACTGCCGCTCCAGCACTTCAATTGTCTTTTCCATCGTGTTTTCATCCAGGAGACCACATCCTACAACATACAAAGGGAAGGGCAATTAGAGGACAGTCAGATGCTTCTGACTGAATCAGAAAAGCAGGAAGAGAAAAAAGGCAACTTCTAGCAACTAATGCAGTAGACATAGCATCTAAAAATAAAATAAAATAGACAAGATTTTTCACTCACAGACTAATTATAACATTGTTTTATAAATACAAGCAGAACTACTACTTGAGTAAAAATTTTACACAAACCAGAAGGATGCACCTGGAAGAAGGCACTGCAGCATAAAAGACAGCAGTTGCTGTAACTGCTGGCTGCTCTTATACAACTCTTCCTGCACCTCTGTTATTTTACAAAACACTAATGAAATCCAAAAATCACACACTGTGTTCTTCTGAAGACTAATATCCTAGGAAATAAAGCTTACCAAGAATATTTCATATCTTACAATGATACAGAAGTTGCACTACCCAGTACCTCTATGTCCATTGTGATGGATAATCAAAGCGTGATTATGAAAAGTGCTTTTATTTTTCTGATTTTCGTTTTCTATAAAATAGTAGATAAATATACTGTTGTAATCCATACTGTCGGTTCACTTGAACACAACACACACTATATATACTCATCACTAGCATAAACAGGACCACTTAAAAAGCATTTGCTATGAGACTGGCCCTCAGCTTGCAGCTTCAGGACATGTACTGTGTAAGAAACCCTAGGATGTTCACAGCTACAAGACATCTCCGAACTGCATGTCATCAAAATCCTAGCTCAAAAATGATCATGATGTCCACAGCTTACAATTTACTCAGGCCTTCAAATGCTGGGATATTCATGTAATATTAATTGTAGAGGCTGATATTTTAACTAAGGCTACAAATTGTGATTCCTTGTTACAATTAATAAATAGGGAGAGGCAAAGTGTTCTCTCCCATGCCCTAATACTTTCTCATTGCCTGAATTAAAACAATTACTGAACCATTCAAGTAGGAAGGGTCCTACAGAGGGCTTCAGCCTCTTCCCAAGCTCCAGGAAGAGTCAATAGGAAATCAAAAAAAGGCTGTTGCTCAAGAGATACATGTAGTCATATCTTGAAAATCTCCATGGATAGAGATCTTCCCCCTTGAAAAACTAACAGCTTTTGCTAACAGCATTTCTGTATGCCTGGGCAGTTATTGTCCTTGCTTTTACTTATATGCATCCTTTGTTACTGGAGCTCAGTCATGAACTCCCTACTTCACCAAACCAGTTTCCCAACACATCTACTCATTTTCCTGAATGTATAATTGGAACTTTCTTGTGCTTGGAGGGCAGTGTTCTTAAAGTCCTTCTAGCTCTCTTCAGTAATTCCACCCTTCAGAGCTGCCTTCCAGATCCCACCCAGTTACCTAAGCAGAAATGTGCTGTCCTGAAGTCCAGGACCAGAAAAACTGTTTCTCCTCCTCACTCCCCTCCAGATCACAGTCACCACTATTTCAATGCTGTTACAGACAATGCTGCCATTGATTATTACTTCTCTACAGGTCCTTCCTATTTCATTAACAGCAAATCCAGGAGATGCCAATCTGTCCTTCTAAAGGACCTACAATCACCCACGGAAGAATACTAGCCACACAGGCTATTCCACTACAATTCAGTTATTCCAGTGATAATTCCAATACTGTTTTCCATAGCTCACTCCCGCTCATAGACCTCTATACCCAATACTTGCATGGCAAAAGAAAGTTTATTTAGCTGATTTTGAATGGGCTAACATATGTGAAACTTAATTAATCTGTTGAGAACCCAGCATGCAAGCTCTTCAGAACTCTGAATTTGTAGATATGTTCCAAGTTCAAGAAATGGAAACATCTGCTTTCCCTACATAAAATCTTTAACTTTTGAAGTCCTAAAATTAATTCCACCTGGGATGGGCTTTTTCTCTCCTGCCTCAGTCTGCAGAAGTTGCAGATGATTTTGGATGTCAAGAAATTTTTAGGCACAACAGGTAAAATATAAACAGATCAAGAAAGCAATTACTTTTTTTAGCTCCTGTTTATCTTAGCATTTCCATTCAATTCTCATTCAGCAAACTTTCAGAGACCTTACACAGCAGACAACAACTCAAACTGCAGAAATTAATGCAACTTTTAAAATGAGAACATGTTGTGGAATTACCCATTTCTGTAAGTTCTTCATTTAGCTCCTGGAGCCAAAAGATGTCCATGTCATCCAAGTCATAACGACACACAGATTCTGCTAGTTCCAAAATATTGATGTAACCTGGCTCTGTGGGTTCTTGGCTGGAACAGTGGATGTATTTCCTGGGTCGTGTATACAGTACTTCTTTTACTTTTTCTGCTACAACCCTGGGAGTGAAAAGAAAAAACGAAATACTTACAGCTTTTTAAGACCTATCCTTGCAAGACATAAAATATTAGCTGTAAGTGCAAAGCAAGCTGGGGTTTCACAGATTTTAAACCAGCCAGTAAGTACAGTCAGCCTAGGGAGACAAGATTCAGTGTCATTTTTTCACCCAAAATGCCCCAAGGTTTACTACATATACAGAACCCTCTTTAAAATGTAAGCCTGTCCATATGATTTCCATTGAACAAATGCTACTATTACAACAAAGCAACTGTTTCGAAAACCCTCAGAAAATACTATCCACAAAACCAACACAATCTTTGTCCTATATTCTAAATGATATAAGGAAATCCTGCCAACCAATCTCTTGAATATACCAGCTTTTTCATGAAAGTTTAATTTATTCTGCTGTAGTGTCTGTGGGAAAAATTCTTGCTCTCCATTTGCGATACTCAGTCTACCCTTATTTTGTAAATGACACCTTATCCACATTACAAATACATTACTTTTGTTATGCAAGAAACATTCTGATGCCAAGCAAAAATGTAAAGGGGAAAAGTCATCCAAGAAGCAAGAGAGAAAAGATTTGTGTTCTCAACCTTTTAAGTATGTTCAGAGATAAAACTCAGTGTTTGATTGGTTTGGTTTTGGAATGGAAATAATAATCTTAACTAGGAAAAGTTCAATCTTTCTCGAAAGCCAGAGAGATACAAAATGAAACAGTGCCATGCATAAGCAGCTCTACATGCTTTCTGGAGCTGACCCTCCACAGGACAAGGAAAAGATAAAAACTCTGGAAAATAAGGCAGCAAAGAAGAAGGAGGCAGCTGTCAAGCTGTATCCCACATAATTCTGACTGGACAATGTGGATTTTCAATGTTAGCACAAACAATGTCCTTCTGCCATTCTCCATCTCCCTTCACCCTGCTCATTTTTTCCCTCTAATTCGCTTGTGAGCTTTTCTTTTCTCTGGTCCAGTCAAATCTATAACATTTCTTTTCCTCTAATATAATACTGCTGGTATGAGCTGCAATATACTTATTTTTAATACCTTGGTACTGGCAATAGCCTTAGTGAAAATTAAATTATGCTGGCTCAGCATTTTCACCAGACAATTAATTCATCTTCTTGAAGACCACACTGGCATTAACCTTTCTCTGTTGAAACATACTTTGTTTCTACCAGGAAGGGTTGCAGGACTACAGTGCTATATTCTCCTAGTCTAAACACAGTGTGAGAGAGCAGAAGATTCTTTATCTATCTCCAGAATCTGAGATCACTAAATTTCTATAATGTTAAGCAGCCAACTGTAGTGAGAGAAGGTAGAAAGGGTTAAAACATTGAGAATAACCAAAATTAGATTATATAAACAAATGAGTAATTTTACCAGTTATCAGTCATTACTGCATGCCTAGTGCTCTATAACATCATGCTGTGTAGGGAAACCTTTCAAGTAATATGCATAAGATATGGGTTTATTTTTAATTTATTCAACTCCCCATACTCAAATAAAAAACAGCTTTTAATCCATAGCAACATGTGATTGAGAAAAAAAGATTTTTTACACTCACAATGTAGATACTGTAACAGCATGCAGACAGAATGAGATCTGGACTGAAGTGCCACAGAAATGTTTTCCAAATTGGCACTTGTGTGGTTTAAGAACATGTCTGAAGGCTGCTACACTGAAGATTTAAACATACCAACAGAGAAAAGCTGACTGCACTTAGACAACTTGGGTTTGAGAGACCATCTTTTCTAGGTTACCATTTTGTGCACATGATCCACATCTGATCACCAATACCTGAGAGAAGGCTGTGGAATAGTTTCTGGACTGGCTGGAACCTGAACCCCTTTCTCCCATTCTTGTTTCCACGTGTCTGCAAAGATGTAATACTCATCAGGGTTGACATGGTGAGAATCTGGGAGTTTCATGGCACTAATGAGATCCTTGCGGAACACCTGCAGGAAACACAGAGGGCAAAGATAGATTTGAGAAACAGCATTGCGTTAAAGAATGTGGCAGATATTCTTCTTATCTACACTGAAACAGTGCATATACACTGAAAATGTTTTTAGAGTACCAACACAAATCAATTTGCAACTACCTAGATTATTAATTTTTAGTGCATTAGGTACAGTATGATGATAAGTTTACACTAATTAAAAACCATGCTGCTGCCCAAAGGCTAACCAGAAGGAAGAAGGTTTTTACAGGCAACCAGAGAGAGAAGAAAGGATGTCTGCATCTGATTCAAGGCTCCTCACCATACTTTCAATCAGCTTATTGCCAGTATAGGCTGTACCCTAACTTAGACACAAGGTAGGATATCCTTTTCTTTCACTCAATTCAGCTACTTTAAACTGTCATATTCATCATGGGCTACAAACAGTTGCCATGGCAAAACTGATGGATAGGCACTTGCTCATTTATTAAAACCACTTGAAGTTTTATTGGTTAGGATCTCTGAGAGCAAAGATGAACAGCTGCCTTTGCTGGAACACAAGACCTGTGTTGCTCTGTGTCTAAGCAGTAATGGACAAAATCCAGCATCAGCATCTTTTAGCAAACCCTATACAAGGAAACATCACCCTCATACACAGTAAACCACAGCAGCCAATCTCCAGCCATAATGCTTGGCTCCAGAGAGTTAAGTTTTTACAAGCATGTAAACATGATCTACAGTCATCTCAAAGCTTACTTAACATCAATATCTGTCAACTACAGGTGTGTACAATTTAAATAAAGGGCATATGTATCCTCTGTGGGTTTCTTCCTCCACTGCTACCCTGCACCAGCTTAATGTTCAGTAAAGCAAAACAGGGACTGTGACTTGGTTTTAGGGAGACATTGCAACTAATTAGCTGTATTATTGTAATGAGAAATCAAATCCTCAAAGGGCAATAAAATGAAATGGAAAATATCTCTGCAATAAGTTGTGACAGGTTGAACTCTCTTCTTACTAATTCAGTTTTATAACCAGCAAAGTAATAAACTACTGCAGAGCCCAATATCTTCATGTATCCTTTTGAATTTGACAGTACCAGACTGGTTATGCCTACTGCAAAAATTCTCAGCTGTTCTTGGAAATCATCAAGTAAATATTGTTTTAAAAAACCTCTGTGCTAAAAAGGTATTGAAATAGTTGCTGCTGACTGGAACATTATCATTACTTCATTATGTTGTGCAACTGCATCTCATACAGGCAGCCAGAAGACCAAGCTGACCAAGGATACTCAAACCCACAGACTCAAGGGTCTTGTATTTGCTCCTAATGTGTTTTCTGCCTTGCTTCAGAACAGACTGTTCACTGTTCCTTCTGTATAAAACTCCTCAGGTACCTAACAGGCCTATATTAAAATCTGAAAGTCAAGAGTGAAAGTATTGAGACTGCAAGCAGCCATTTTTTTCAAGCACTATATGTACACACCAAAAACAAAATGTAAAATGATTTATGACACTTAAAAGGCATTTTAGTTTTCTGTGTTACAGGTACAGAGCCAGGATTATGAGAAGCACTAACATGGCAGAATTCCAAAGAACACCAGAAGGAAAAAGTATGATACAAGAGAAGTGCAATGGCTGCTTTAATTATCAGAAAATATATTTCTCAAATCTTATCTGAGGTAAGTGCTTTACAAACTACCTTTTAAGCCACTGACAGCATATAAAAGTGAAGTACTTCATATCAAACCCACTATTTCTTAATGACGAGATGAAAAATGCTATTAAAGGCATCAGTATTCTAACTACATTGCTTAGTAGCAAATCTTCTGGTCATCCATTATGTATGCAAACTGTATCTCTATTTTTAGAGCACAAATCCCCTGGAGCATGAACTTCTTCTGGGTTTCTTTTGACTGTTGTAAGTACTGACCACACCATCACCACACCACAACATTAAGCTCTCTGCCTCAGATTTCTACGATTTACAGTACAGGTAGCACTGAAGGTCAAAGATTTAATCAATGAAAAGATAACTGTTGAAATATTAAGGGACTCCAAAACTCAGCTAAGACTTCCTAAGAATTGCCTGTTCATACTTATGATTAACAGTGCAATTGAGGATTTCCTGCAGACACTCAGAATCACTACAGTCTTTAGCCCTAGTCATTCTTCATTTCTCCACGTGTGGCAAAGCAAGGTCTTCCAACAGTAAAATACTCTCAGAGGGAAACGTATGAGAACACTCAGTCTGTATTTCCTTTGTTGTGGAAGTAAACCAAAACACTCAGGGGACCCAAACAGAGTTTTCTAACAAACTGAGGAAATTCTACATCAGCACTCAGCCTCGAGGCTATGAACTAAGCCATCTACACACAGAGCAGCACACACATCTTCAGGATTTAGATAGCCAGATTCTCCTCATGGCTTTTTGTTTTCCAACATTTATTTGAAAAACAATGCTGCTCCTTTACTAACTGTGTCCCTAGAACAACAGCTAGTCTGCTCCACAGCACACACTCTCCCCTCTTGGCAAGAGCCACCAGCACTTCCAGTTAGCCCATTAAGCACAGTGGTCATCTTTCAATCATCCCAAAGTAGTTCTACTTCTTACCTTATATAAAGCACAACCCCCCAACTTTATTTTAACATCATCTGTAATGTCATACATATTGAAAATACCTGAAAAATGAGCCTGCCAAGGCTAGGACTATAAAGTATTCCCATCCAGAAACATCACTCCACACAAGCAGACTCAGCTGGTGCCGAGTGTCTTTAGCACACAAGAGAACAAGGCCTTGCAGAGCTGAGCTATAATTGAGTGCAGCTCCCACAGCCAGCTGCGTACACACAGAAGTGGGAAACTCCTCAGCACTCAGAGCATTCCACAGAAGTTACTGCATGACAGTGGGAATTTTTAAAAATATTTTTTAGCAAAGAGAGCATGAAATTACAAATGAGTTTTAGCCTTGCCATTCAAGACTGCTTGGTCTGAACTTAAAATTTCATTTTGCTGCCAGGAATTTTTAGCTTTAACCACAAACAGTGCAGCACTTAAAGTAAATTACATCAATGAAATATGTCTACTTATGTCATCATTGTCTCGTAATCTAATTGTTACCATTTCATTGAGAACTTCTATTACATATTCCATGCTTTAGAACTGGAGCTTAAATCTAGAACAAAAGACCTTGTTCTTTAGTCATGTTGTGGTTTTAAGCCCAGATGGAAATGAAAGACTACTCAGTTGCTCACTCAACCCCTCCCCTGTATTCCCCCCACAAACCTGATGGAATGGAGAGAAGAATCAAAGTAAAACTTATATGTTGAGATAAGAACAGTTTAATAATTGAAAATAAAATACAATAGTAAATAATAATAACAATCATGATAATAAAAAAGAAAAAACCCAAACAAGTGATGCACAATACAGCTGCTCACCATTCAGTGACCAATGTCAGACCCTGCTTCCCAAACCCAGACCAGCTTCCCTTCTCGGTAACTCCCCAGTCTATATAACAATTCCATGGTGTGGAATATCCCTTTGGTCAGTTTGGGTCACTTGTCCCAGTTATGCTCCCTCCCAGTCTTTTTGGTTTCGTGGTTTATTTTTTATTGCATACCTCCTCACTGACAGAGCATGAGACATGTAAAAAAAGAAAAGTCCTTGACTTGGGATAAACATGAATTACCAAATAACCAAAGCATCAGTGCATTATCAACACCATATTAATTCCAAATGCAAAACACAGCACTGCAATAGCTATTGAGAAGAAATTAGCTCTACCCTAGCTGAAACCAGGACAGGTCAACATTAGCATTTTGCTCTGCAGTAGAAGTCTGCCTGCTTTTTCTGAGGAAATGAGAACCTCCTAGTCAGCTATGCAGACACACTGCCATCTATAAAGCCTTTAAAAGCTAAATTTTGCAAAAGTCTTGTGAAATATGGATGCTCTGCTCCCCCAAAGCACTAATACACCAAGAAACAATGATATCAAAGATATGGTTCATATATTATATTTGTTTTTCAGACTTCTGAGTCCTATTTGGAAATTATGTTAGAAGAATACGTCCAAGGAAAATTAACTTCTTAGAATTTATTTTAAAAAGCTTCACCTAAAGCCATCTATGATTTGAACCCAAACTCCTCCTGGAAGCACTCTATGGAAATACAATATGTAATCTTCCTCACTGGACCCCCTATGCTTACTCTGAATAAATCAGGCTCTGAAACAAAAATATTATTTTGTATGAAGTATCCTAATCCATTAAAGATATCAGGGAGAACACAATTAATGCTATAGAGAACTAAAGTAAAATACTAGCATTGGATACAGAGAATGGTCTCGACAACAAAATGGCCTTCTACAAACACCATCTTTGATGAACAATTCAAACATCAGATCTTCACAGACTATCAGGCACCTTCTGTTCATGACCACTGCAAACTTAAAACCTCATTAAGAAAATAAAAAAATTAGTGAAATACCTTTTCCAATACTCCTCTGCAAACTACTACTGAAGCTGACTGATGACACTGTTCATTCACCATGTCTTGCCCAAATGCATGTGAGGAACAATAGATGGATTGTGTCATCTCTTAAAAATGAAATGAAAGCCAATACTTCTTCTTGTGATGCTCTCCATGCTTTCAGGTAATTTGAGCAACTGCTTACAAACTCCCAACACGGGTAAGTCACTTGTCACAGGCACCTAGGCAATGACTGGGAACCACACCTCCAAGGCTTAAGTAAATTATGGATTAACTGCTTTTGTTACAATCAAAGCCCAGTTTATGCCAGATTGCATGTAATTGCTTCAGTCCTGAGGCTTCCCCTGCACCCAGCAGAACTCAGCAACAGGATTTTCAGCTCCCACTCATCACTAAGGGAGTCAGAAGACTCATTGCTCAGAAACACAGCTGTGATTTTTTAAAAAGCAGGAGGGAGCTTCTATGTCCTGTCTTCCCTGCAAAAGTACATTAAATCTTTTACAGCTAACAGCATGGAATGAGGGC